TTTTGTACAAATATAAAATATATTTAAGATAGATTTATATAATATAGCTAATCAACAAATCTTTAATTATAATTGGATTGAGTCTATGGTCTTTTCCCAGGGGTCACAAAATCCATACTATCAGGATCTCCTGGGTTTCATCCTTAGCACCAAAATAAAATACCAAATGAGAATCGTGATAATTGTGTGCCCAAATAAGGAGAGGGAGAGAAAGCCCCAGTAAAAGATATTTAATGTCAGCGGGACACTGTACATGTGGGCAGAGATGACAAACAGACAAGGCAGTTGAGCTGACCTGCCAGCATGCCCTGTAGTTCGAAGCCTCCCTTGATAGATGAAGTGACAGCAGCAGCAACAGTTTCCTGTCCGTGCAAGAAGGCAGAGCGACAAGCACTTGGTCCCCAGTCAAAACCCAGGTTTGCTCCACGTCTTCCTTGGTGTAGCAGTGACATGGCCGTTTTCCCTTGGCTTGTGGCGGGAGCTGGTGAAAGTCTCATCGGGAGGCAGATCCAGCGTCCAGGGAGGCACAGATCTCACGTTCACCAGGTAGAGGGACCTGAGACCTCTCCCCAGTGGCGGGGAAGGAGGCTTTATTGCGATCGTGCACTCAGATGAGAAAAGAAACAAGGATGACTAAAGCTCTCGCCGTTCTGGGGAAGACCTGGGCCACCATGGGGTTCTTTCCATCTTCCACAGAGACCCTGGGTCTCCTGGCCAGGGCCACGGACACTCATCTTCCCCAAAGGACTGCAGATTTGAAACAGGCCCATCTCCTTGCTCTAACCTAACCACCACCTCTCTCTCCTGGAGGCTATGGCACCTAGACACTCTCAGGCCGGTGTTCAGAAGGTAAAAAGCAGGGAAAAGCCCGTTTCTCTCCCACTGGCTGCAGACGACCAGCAAAGCCCAGTCCTCACAGAGGGCCAGCGTCTCTTACCCTCCTCCTGTCCGCTCTCTTCTCTTTGATTATTTATCATCCATCCATCCTTTTTTGTACAAATATAAAATATATTTAAGATAGATTTATATAATATAGACTTTTGTGAGGCAGACAGGAGCGGGCGGGAGGCGCGCACGGGCGCCGTCATTTACAGACGTGCTGGTCCACGATCTCCGTGCATTTTTTGCACCTGACGAAGCAACACCAGTGGAACCTGCAGTGGCAGCGCTCCACCTGGACGCTCTTGAAGCGGTCGTAGCCGCGGCCGCAGCACATGAGCTCACAGCCATCCGTGCCCTCCGAGGTCTTGTTGCAGAGGCGCCCCTGCGTCCCCAGGGAGCCCGTGGCCTCGTTACGCAGGCAGTAGTCAGGGCTGGGGTCCACGTACACCAGGTCCTCCGGCGTGGGCTGGTTGAAGCGGCTGTTGGCCAGCTCCAGCTTGCCCTGGCGGGTGATGCGCATGGCCGCGGCGCTGTCGTACTTCTCCTTCAGCCTGTCCCCCACCTTGCGGAACTCGGCCAGCTGGAGCCAGCAGGTCTTGAGGCTGCAGGAGCCCGAGACTCCGTGACACTTGCAGGCAACGTCGGCCATCTTGTACACAGCCTGGGGAAGGAGAAGGAGGAGGGTGAGAATGACTTCCGGGCAAGGCCAAGCAGGCGGACAGGTGGGCCTGTGAACTCAGCGGGGAAGGGGGCTTCCTGCCAAGCCCGGCAACCCGAGTTCGACCCCTGCAGCTTACAGGCGAGGCGAGCCCCAGCTCCTATAGTATTCCCAAATACCATCTTCAAAAAGTTGTGTTTGGAGCCTGGCGCGAAGGTACATGACTTTAAAATCCCAGCACTCGAGAGACAGAGGCAGAGGCAGGTGGATCTCTGTGAGTTCGAGGTCAGCCCGGTCTCAAACAAAACAAAACAAAAAGGTTTTTTTTTTGTTTTTTTTTTTTGTTTTTTTTTTTTTTTTAATTTATGTGTGTGTGTGAGAGAGAGACAGAGATGGACACAGAGGCACAGGGACAGAGACTGTGTCTGCACGTATCTTACATATTTGCCAGAGGATGCCGTGGTCAGAGGACCTTTGGGTAGTGGGTTCTTGAGTTCTACCTTGTTCTGAGGCAGCAGCTCATCTCTCTTGCCTCATTCTCTCATAAAATGATTACCGAGCACGAGGAGGTCAGAGGACAGCTCTATCTTTGGGTGGGTTCCAGGGATCAAACTCGGACTGTCAGGCTTGCTCGGCAAGTGCCTTTACCTACTGAGCCATCTCGCCGGCCCCTCTCCTTTCTGCTGCTTCACCACAGTCTCCAAGCTGGCTGGCCCACGAGCTGCCCGGGAATTCTCCAGTTTCGCCTCCTTTCTCGCTGTTGCTGCATGGAGCTTTTGCACAGCTTCTGGGGACCCTACCTTGGGATTTATTGGATTTGGGTAGCAATTGCTTCTACCCACTGAACCATCTCTCCAGCCCTTTAAAATTTTGTAAAAATAAGGGAGGCAGAGGCAGGTGGATCGCTGTGAGTTCGAGGCCAGCCTGGTCGACAAAACAAGTCCAGGACACCTAAGGCTACACAGAGGAAAATCTGTCTCGAGAAAACAAAACAAAACAAACAAAAATTGTAAAATAATTTATTGTCATTGAGACAAATCTCCTGTAACCCAGACTGGTCTCACACTTGCTCCACAGCCAGAGATGACCTTGAACTTCTGGTCTTTGAGTCTGTAGGCATGTATAACCACCTTATACAGGGCTAGGGATCAGCCCCAAGGCCTTATGCTCTGTAGGCAGTCACTCTACCAACTGAGGAACATCCCACCCACTCCTTCCCACCCCTCCCCCCCCATTCTCTTTCAGTGGAATCTTGTTCAGGCTGTTCACACTCTTGGGCTCAAGCCATCTTGCCACAGCCTCTGGAACAGCTGGCAGATGTGAGCCGACACCCCTGGCTCCAATTTTCCATGCTGATCAAATCTCCAAACAGATAAAACTCAACAAGATATGTCTAGCTTTTGCACAGTATGGAGCACCAGTCAGAAAAGAAAGAATTTTTGGCTGTTTCACATGCTGTCCTCCCTATTAAGTTCCTCCAAAACTGAATGGTTCCTGTCCTGGGGATCACATTTGGTTATCAGGAGCTTCCTGTGAGCTATCCCGTCTGTAAGCAGGACGGCCCTCCAGCCCTCACACCCAGCTGGGAGAGGTTGGGGGCATGGGGTTAGGTCAAACCCATGCCATGGCAGCAGGGTGGTGGGCCTACATGAGCACTTGTTCTACAACGAATTGACTTTGGAAGTCACTGAATCCTAACATTGTGGAGTGGGCTTGAACTCGGGCTATTCCCAAATCAAAATTACAAAGCAGAGTAGAGCAGAAAGCTGGTCACTCAGCGAGTGTGCGCTGATGTAGCCGCCTTGGCGGCTGGCCCGTGGTACAGAGAGCAGGACAGAAATGACTCCCTGCCTCAGAACCTGGGCCACAGCTGCCATCCCCAACAGAGTCAGGGCTCATTTCGTCAGGGTTTCCCTTAGATTTCTTCTCCAGAGTCCCTGGACTGCTTTTTTATTCAACGATAAGCAGAGACCACCACAAGTACCAGAAACAGCCATCGCCAGCTCTTGGGCTGCTTAAAAGGTTGTTTTCCTAGCAGGGAATTCTTTCCAGACTGAATCTCTAGGGAGTCTTGGGAACCAATTAGGCCCATCCAGAAGGGAGCCTGTATGGTCAGCCCTTCTGCACTCTAACCTCGCAGCCTAAGCTTAGCACAGGGAAGGGAGGGGGGCCTCCCCAGCACCCCCACTGCCCCCAGCAGGAACTAAGAGAGGCCCTGCAATTACCTTCTGGCCCAAATCACAGGCCTGTGTTCTAGCCTGCCTCTCCCTAGAAACGGTCCTTGCCTTATGGAGGGAAGCACGAAGGGCCCGTGGCTGGGTACTTTGTAGCTGCTGAGTCACCGGGGAGCAGGCTAAATGTCTCTAAAGGGAATGAGCACCCCCAGACAGGACGGGATCCCCATACAGGTCTGAGTAGGACTGCTGTTTCTCTTCACTGTTTGAAAAGCCACCCTATCCTTTGTCCTTGATGTCCTGCAGGCACCATAATACTTTTTCTTTTTTTAATATTTTATTCCTAATACTTCTGTGAAGAAAGAGAAGGCAGTGTTAATGTGGGACCCTTCCTGCTTACTAAAAACCTAATACAATATAGACAATATGGGGCTGGGGTGCTGCTTGGGGTAGAGCATTTACCTAGTGTATGTACGCGCCTCAATCTGATCCCCGAAGCCACGGAATAAATGATGACATAACGCTTTTTAAAAAAATGTTTCAGTCCCAGTTGGTAGTCACCACCTGTAATCTCAGCATTCTAAAAGGCTCAGGGAGGATGACTGTCATGAGTTTGGGGCTAGCCTGGGCTACATCGAGAGAGTCTGTCGTTCTTTTTTTATTTTATTTTATTTTATTTTATTTTATTTTATTTTATTTTATTTTATTTTATTTTTTGGGAGGGGGTTCAAGACAGGGTTTCTCTGTGTAGCCTTGGCTACCCTGGATCTCACTCTGTAGACCAGGCTGGCCCCGAACTCAGAGATCTGCCTGCCTCTGCTGGGGTCAAAGGCTTTCAGGGTGTGCTGCCACCCCCGGCTCCCTGCGTCATTCTCAATACCCCTGCTGCGAGTTCGAGGCCAGCCTGGGCTACAGAGCCAGTTCCAGGCTTGCTAGGGCTGCACAACAAGACATTGTTTCTGTTTTGGGGGAGGGGGGTCCCAGGCCGCATCTATCTCATAGTGCCACACTTGGTACATGACAGGTATTAGACAAGATTAGGGAGGCTTCCTCCGTCCCCGATGGCCTTCTCATCCGGACAGACGTCCTTGCGTGGTTGAGCAGCCCCAGCCTGCTGGTCTTGCCTCCACGACCAGAGGAAGCTGCCAGACTGGGAGGCTTCGGCCAAAGCGCTCAGGACTTCTGCTGTGGGCAAGATGGCAGATGGCAGATAATATGCTGCTGTTCCTGCTTTTTCTGGTCTTAAAGCACTATCGAGCTCTCGTCAGCCCCGCCGTTGTGCAATCCTCCCTGGAGGATTCCTGCACGTGGGGGATGTGGAAGCTAAACATAACACCAATGTCCTCAGTGGTGATCAATGGGTCGGGCTCCTTAGACAGTGAAAAAAAAATAAGAGGGACAAGCATCCCCATGCTGGAGCAGCCTGTGGCAGAGGGAGAGATGAAGTGGCCAGGAAGAGGTGTGCAATCTGGGGGAAGGAGCTAAACCTGGGAGGCAGACAGACGAAGGGAAGAGGTCATTAAAGGGCCAGACAGACACAGAAGGGGCCGGACACAAACAAACGACCGAGGGCGATAAAAGGAGAAGCCAGCAAAAGTAGGGTCAAACTGTGAGGGGAAGGAAGGTGAGGTCTCCTTTCTACCTTCAGGATGGATCAGGATGCTGCCTGGCTCCCGGCATTGTCACAGTGCCAGACAGAAGCGGGGAGCAGGGCTTCATTCTATGAAGTGGACCTCATGCTTCAACCATTAGGAGGTAACACAGAAACTGCTCTTGCAATTGCGTGTGCCTGGCCACGCACAGCACGGGAAAGGGTGCTACAGAGAAGCACAGCCATCCTTCCTCAGCAAAACACAGGACCAAAAATACCTCAAGAAATGCTTCACGCAGGCTCAGGGGAGCAGGAAAGACTTTAAGGCCCAGGTGGTCTTTGAGCTCGGATCTATCTTGTTCTGTTTTTGAGGCGGGGTCTGACCAAGCCTGGCTCTGAGCTAGGCTCAAGCAGTCCCTGCCTCAGCCTCCTTTGAACCTGGGATTATAGTTGTACAGTTTTGCCAAGTGGTTAGAAAGCAGGTGTTTTAGAGAAAAAGAGACGGGTGATGGGACACAGTGGGACAGCTGTCCTCGGAGGCGCCATTTGAGAAAGCCGCAAGGAGTGACGGAGCGAAGGTGCCACTGTGCTGTCACCGGAGGTAGTGGGGACAGTGGGGTGGGGTAGGGTGAGGGGGACAACCAGGCAGGTACTGCTGGGACAAGTCACCGTGTTTAGCTTCTACTCAACCTGAAGCTTAGAAAGCAGGTATGTGTCCTCACTCCCACTTAAGCCTAAACCTGCTGGCGCAGAATGCTTCTTTCATTACCCCTGAATGAGCCTCCGGGCTGCTCCATAGCAGCATTTCAAAGTCAGCCCGAGGCGCCCCGGATGTTATAACAAACCAGAAAGCCCAGGCCAGGTTTAACGGCCTAAACACCACGTCATCATGAGGAGGGTGAGCCGAGACCAAGCATTGTATCTTAGTTCTGGAAAGGACCCATGCCATCTGAAGTGACAAAGTTACAGAAGTGACAGGCAGGGGCTATGATATCCACCTGTGGTCCAAGCTCCTGGGAGGCGGAGACAGAAAGGTGTCTTGAGCCCAGGAGTTTGCAGCCAGATAAGACAACAAATGAGACCTCGTTTTTGAAAAGCAGACACAAGCTGAATGTGGTGGTGTACACCTTCAATCTCAGCACTCAGGAGGCAGAGGCAGGCAGATCTCTGAGTCTGAGGCCAGCCGGGTGTGCACCGTGTATTCCGGGCCAGCCAGAGCTGCAGAGTGAGATTCTGTCCCAAAACAAACAAGCCACTGCCGCTGCCACCACCACCAGCGAACAAATAAGCAAACACAAAGGTACTCCCCCACCATGCCCCCTAAAAAGAAAGACAATCCCACTGGAAGTCATGCACACGGAAAAGGGCCAGTTCAGGGCTGGAGAGATGCCTCTCTTCCAGAGGTCCTGAGTTCAATTCCCAGCAACCACATGGCGGCTCACAACCATCTATAATGAGATATGGTGCCCTCTGCTGGCGTGCAGGTGTACATGCAGACAGAACATTGTATACATAATAAATAAATCTTAAAAAAAAGAAAGGGCCAGCTCAGTGAAAAGGCACACAGTGGGCACCCTTGGCAGTGGTTGGGAGGTCAAGATGGCTTACCCGGCGGCCGGCCTCGTTGTTCTGTAGGTTCATGAGGGCTCGGCCCTGCTCCTCTGAGCCCTTGGCGAAATTCTTCTCGCGCTCCCGGGCATCCACAAACTCCTTGGCAAAGCGGTAGCCGTACTCCACGTTGTCCCCACAGCCACCCCACAGCCAGTCTCGCGGCAAGTCCTTGGGCCTCGCAGCACGACTGCAGCCACAGGTGGACAGCTCACCCTCTCGGCAAGCTCGGCTGATGGCATTCACCACCCCCGCAGCGCTCACTGCATAGGTGAAGGCAGTCTCCCGGCTCCCTGCAGCAAGGGACGACAGATGGTAAGCAGATCACACTCTGATGAAGGCCTTCCCTTCCCTCTGCTAGGCTGTGGCTTGCCCTGTGGGAACAGCTGTCTCAAGGAATGCCCGCCCTTCCCACAACACTGCTGGGCAGGGGTTTCACAACGGGCTGACTCTGGCCTTTTGACTTCTGCCTCTTGGCCACAATGCTGTTCTGTGACATCCTCTGGGCCTGGTCCACACTCTATCCATTGTACTTTATTGGACCCTACATCCACTCCTGGGAGGAAGCTGTAAGTAGCGAGAGAATGGGCTTCCTGCAAGTTATGGACCATTTGAGACTAACAGAATGAGACTGAAGAAGTTATTATGAGATTAACGGAACAAAGTCTGCACCCAAGCAAGAACAGCTTCTTCAGGCACCATTTCTCTCCTACCCATAAGCTACACATCTGTGTGTCTGTCCTCTTCATGGCTGCCACTGTGTAGCGGGACCCTGGCAAAGGCCAGGAATAGGAAGTGAGTTAGACACCAGTGTTGAATAGTCCTGTGGTTTCCCTCTCTCTTCTTTGAGCCTCACACTGCCTCCCAACTCATGAGCACTGGGGAGCCACACCTGAAGTTTCAGCCACCAGTCATTGTCTACAAAGAGTCCCAACTATGAGCCTCTTTATTGCAACAGCAAACTACTTAAAACCTGCCATGGCGCATGCTCTACTACACCGTGGATGGGAATGTTATTGGGTGCAGATGGGCTTTGGAAATTAACTGAGTTCCCAGATGACCCAGCAACTCCACTCCTGAAAATATGCCCAACGGAAACAAAGATACGTGTACAAATGCTTCCCAACAGATGCTCGTTGTAGCATGATTCATAATATCCAGACAGAAAGAGAGAGAGGGAAAGAGAGAAGAGAGAGAGTGAACTCAATTATCTATCGGCGGATGGCTAAACTCATTGTGCCATTGTCCATACAGTGAAAAGTTGACGGGAAGAAAGTACTAATATACGCCACGACATGGAGAAACCTTTAAATCACTGCATCAAGCGAAGAGGCTGTGTCTTGCTCGGTCCCATTTATAGGAATGTCCAGAATGGGAACAATCCACTGGGACAGATTAGCTGTAGCCTAGGGATGGGGCTGGGGGTCAGACAGGGACAGTTAAGGGTCAATACAAACGCTCCGGGATTGGTGGTTGCAGTTTCTGAAGACTGTTAATGTGCACACTTTCAAATGGTGAGCCGTGTACCGCATGAATGACAGCTCCCTAAAGCCGTTTTGACAAATAACAAATGTGTGGGATCAGGCATTGTGAGAAGTGGTTATTGGCAGGCCGCAGACTTCTCCTGGATTGGATATCATATGGGCTAGCATAACCTGTTCTTTTTTTGTGGCTCTCCCACCGCTCCATAAGGGGAAGGCGACACCACAGACCTGTCCCCAAGGGTGAAGAGGCAGAAACCCGCAACCAACTAAAAGGTCTGAGGACCGGGGAGATGGCGCTACAGTTTAGAATACTGGCTGCTCTTGCAGAAGGCTGGAGTTCGGTTCGCAACACCCAGGTCAGGTGGCTCACGACCTCCTGGGACTCCAGTGCCCTCCTCTAGCCCCTGAACACACAATATCAACGTGCATGCATCCATACAAATAAACAATAATAAGATGAACATTAAAGAACAGGTCTGGAGTGATCCCTACTTCTCGGTTACCTTGGCACCACACAGTGATGTCAGAAACCAGATCACTCTGAGAGAATCAGCTTTTTACAACTGACAGTGATCAGCTCTGGTCATTGGTAAACGGGAATTCCCCCTTGAGACCGCCACCTAGTGGTAGGAGGCTCCATTGTGCTCTAGCTGCTATGACTGACACTTGCCCCAGTGCTGACAGTAGCAGTGAATGCTGGGACAGAAAGATAGTCCAAGGAGCTCTTTAAAAACAAAATTCTTTTATTTTAAATTGTGTACCTGTATAAGTCCTTGTAGGGAAATACTCACGTGAGTGCAGTGCCTTCAGAGGCCAGAGAGGGTGCTGGCTCTCCTGCCACTGCAGTCAGAGGCAGTTATGAGCAGTCTAGTGTAGGGGCTGGGAACTGAACTTGGGCCCTCTGGAAGGGCATTATGTGAAAAGGAAGCAGACTGGCCCTACTCCGAGTGAACCATCCCTGAAAAGTATTCAGAAATGCTCTCAACCCCTGAGGCACCATCTTGAGCAGGTTGGAACCTCGGACATCCCAGTACAAGGTCCCTGGCCATTCTCCTCGAGAATTAGCTTCCAGGGATCCTCAGGGAAATGCTGACCTTTCAGAGCAGCTTGTCATCTTTCTTTCTCTCTTTCCTTCCTTCCTTTCTGAATTCTTTCTTTCTTTCTAAATGATTCTATCACTAGAAAGTTCCTTCTCGTATGAAACCAAAAGACGCCTCCTTGTAATTTCTGCCTGCTGGAGCAGCACTGTCTAAACCCCTTCTCCACTTGACAGCTCTCCAGTGTTGGAAAACAAGAAACGTGCCTTTTATGTGTTCTCTCCCAAGCTACATAGGTCTGATTTCTTCTAGTCTTCTTCAGCAAATACGCTTCTGAGTCCAATCAGCCCTCTCCAAATGCCTTTTGAAATCCCATCTCTGAACATAACACACCAGGTGCCACACACACACACACACACACACTGACTCCCCGTGACTTGGGACCTGCAAGTGTCCTCCAGCTCACTTGTACCCACGCTGCCTGTGCCGGAGGGGCGTGGCCAGACTCTGAGAGTATGCAGGGCTAGCAGCACGGGGCAGCACCTGGGTCTCAGGGTAAGAGATTATTTGCATAGAAATCTCTTGCAAGAGAGAGTTCTCCCACTGCAGGTTAGGTAAGCTGTGTGTGTGTGTGTGTGTGTGTGTGTGTGTGTGTGTGTGTGTGTGT